TCACTCTGTCACCCAGACTGGAGTGCAGTGGCCGCTCCCAGCCACCGCAGCCTTGACTGCTGGGCTCCAGCGATCCTTCCGCCTCAGCCTTTCCAAGTAGCTGGAATTACAGGCATGCGCTACCACGCCCGGCTGATTTTGTGATTTTATTGTAGAGATGAGGTCTCCCTGCCCAAGCAGGTCTTGAACCCGAGGGCTCAAGCAATCCACTCACCTCAGCTCCCAAAGGCGCGGGATTACAGGCTGAGCCACCGAGCCCGGCTCACAATGGCTTTTATAACTGGAACTATGACGTAAATGCCAACCTACCTGAGTGTCTACTCTGTGCCAAGCAATGTTTTTAGCATTTCACATCACATATATTAAATCCAGTTATCAAAACAATGATATAATAGGCATTTGCCTACTTTAATTGATGAGGGATTGGAGACAGAGAGGGATTATAGGTGTGAGCAATGTGCCTAAAGCCTTATGCTTCAATCCAGAAGTCACCAACTCTCCTTTTAACTCTCTAGTGATTTATAAAAGTATAGATGTTAACAAACCATAAGATAACTGTGAAGGTAAAACCCCCAGGTATTACTGAAACTGTCAGTAATTAGAGGAATGTTTAATGATACTTCAAAGCATAAAAGGACACTATCCCTCAGAAATGGGAACTACCCAGAAATTTTATGACACCAAATTATTATTATTATTATTTTTTAAGTTGGAGTCTCATTCAGTCACCCAGACTGGAGTGCAGTGGCTGCTCCTGGCCACCATAGCCTTGACCTGCTGGGCTCCGGCGATCCTTCCGCCTCAGCCTTCCAAGTAGCTGGAAATACAGGCGTGCGCTACCATGCCCGGCTAATTTTTTTGATTTATTGTAGAAATGAGGTCTTGCCAAGTTGCCCAGGTGGGTCTCGAACCCGCAGGCTCAGGCAATTCACTCACCTCGGCCTTCCAAAGTGCGGGATTACAGGTTGAGGCACCGAGCCTGGCCAACACCAAATTATTGAAGAAGTCTCAATCAAATCAGTACCAATATGCAACTTTTTTGTCTTTAAGTAGGAGTCTCACTCTGTCGCCCAGGCTAGAGTGCAGTGGCACACTCATAGCCACTGCAGCGTTGACCTACTGGGCTCAGGCGATTCTTCCACCTCAGCATCCCCGCAAGATTAGAAAACACATAACTTACAAAAATGGAGGTGATACTGGTCAGAAAAAGGGGATAAGAAAGGTGAAGAGTTTTAGTATCTTATTGGGCTGAAAGTGAAAGAAATTCTGAATGACTAGGTTGGTTATGAAAACAAAAGTCCCAAACAGGTAGGACACAAAAGGTCACGAGTGGATACCTGTACATCTTAGATATACTGTACTAGTCTTGTTTGTAATGAGTCTCTGTTCAATAAAAATTGGCCCAAGAGATAACGGTGAGGTTTTTTCCTTCTTTTAGCTGTTTTTCTTTGGGACCAAATACATGATAAAAAGTCATCATACAAAGAGCAAACAATTCTTTCAAAACTGTCTCCATTCCTGAGTTAGGAGACTTCATTCCTCTTTGACCCAACAAGTCTTGCCATTTTCTCCCAGCTGTACACTTCCCCTGGCCACTAGCTGGAGGGCTGCAGGAAATAGCCTATGTTCTGCTAATTTAACTCTTTCAGACAGAGTTGCAACAGTGTCACCCCTCTTCACAGGAACGGCTTCTTGCAAAATGATTTGTCCAGCATCTACGTCTTCCTAAAAAGTAAGCAAAAGTTTTGAACGTTACCCTCTAGCCAGTGCAATTTGCATCTAAATACTAATATTATTTTGGTAGAATAAGACACACTCACGGCCACAAAGTGTACAGTGCATCCAGTAACTGTGACGCCGGATTCCAGGACTTGCTCATGGGCATTTGAACCCTTAAAAGAAGGGAGCAAGGATGGGTGAATGTTCAGCATTTTTCCTAAAAATTAAAAAAGTCATAGTTAGTCAGAATTTTAGAATCCCGAGTATTCTGTCAAAGGAATATATATTTTTCTGTTGGAAGTCAAACAGAAGTTGGATTTCTGGGGTGGGTGTTCTTTGCCAAACACAGAAACAAGGTAAAGGGAACTGAGTTTTCGTCCATAGAGATCCAGGCAGCAGTTACCTGCCTTGCAGAGCCAAAAGGCATGCCGGGGACTCTGAACAGGAACTCACATTCCTCTGATAACTGACAGGAAGGGGGAGGTCTAAGCTGGATGGTAGGGCTCTTGAAGAAAATTCAGCTTGCTCTTGGCATTTACTATTAGAAAGAGGCAATAAGTTCTTGCATAGTGTCTATGTGTTTGATTTCTTTTTTGTGAGAAAACAGGAGTTTATTAAGACAGAAGCGCTCCCAAGCGGGAGGGGGTCTGAGACAGGGTTGCCCTGTGCTTGACTTTTAACTACCAAATGATGAGTCTACCAAGCAGATGCTGGATTCTGTGTGCTTTATGTCATCAAAGACATGGCCTGTTTTTATTTTATTTTATTTTTAATTTTAATTTTTAATTTTTTGAGTTGGAGTCTCACTCTGTTGCCCAGACTGGAGTGTAGTGGCACACTCCTGGTTGCTGCAGCCTCGACCTGCTGGGCTCTAGCGATCCTTCTGCCTCAGCCTTCCAAGTAGCTGGAACTACAGGTATGCGCTACCACACCCAGCTAATTTTTTGATTTATTGTAGAGATGAGGTCTCGCCAAGTTGCCCAGGCGGGTCTCGAACCCGCGGGCTCAGGCAATCCACTCACCTCAGCCTCCCAAGGTGTGGGGTTATAGGCTGAGCCACCGAGCCTGGTGATGGCCTGTTTTCTATTACGTCATAAGTGCTCTACCTATATTCACACTAAGAAAACATAAACTTTTTGGAGGGAAAAAGCAGTAATACAAAATACTATGTTTTCTGGGTAACATTTTCCTTGCCCTCCTCTGGCAATGGTCCATGCTTCCTAAAAAAAGATGAATTCCATTTTGGCACATAGGAGATCACTTTCTTTTGCATCTATACAAGTAAAAAAGAGTCTTCCAGGTATTTACTCAGAAGATAAAATATTATCTTTGTGGTAATGTAAACAAAACTGCTATATTAGAAAAAGTGATTAATTATAGCAAGCCAAAGAAAATTGATAAAGAGCAGAATAACAAATCACCATTGTATCATTCTTGAGACTAAAGCAAAAGGAATAAAATTATGTACTATGTTAAAGTAAAATATCATAGTAAATAGTTTACTACTGGGATTGCTTAGCAAGTTAACCATCCTACAGTTCATTTGCAATTGATTTCTCAATGTGATGTTAAAAATTTTTGCTTACCATTCCATTTTCTGACAAAAGGACCAGACAGAATTCTCATGAACCCAGCAAGACAGACTATGTCTGTGGAGAATTCTTCAAGGACTCGGTCAACTGCATTGTCAAATTCTACACGATTTTTATATAATTTATGATTAATTACCTGTAACAGAAAAAGGTAAGCACAACCCTTTTCAGTGAATTACCAAAAATAATTTAAAACTCAACCTTTACATAGATCATACTTCATGCCCTTGTGAGGATACACCTGATAGAAAGATTACTAAGAAAGGGACAGGATGAAGTAGAAAGGCAAGGCCAACACCCACCCAAAGTGCAGGTCCAAAGAACAAGTGCCCCACAGATCCAGGTTCTGTGATGGCAGATTAAGAGTTTAACTACAACCTGCAGGAAAGATACATTTCCAAGAAACTTACTCTGGTGGGAATACCAGCTCTTTCTGCTTTATCTAACCCGGCCACTGCAGCTTTGTTGGAGATAACGACAACAATGTGTGCAGAACTATCTGGTTCTTGAGTATTCTCTATGAGTGCTTGAAGGTTTGATCCTGAAAAGGGAGAAAAACAAGGGAGCTCATACATTTTTCTTCCTTTTTTTTTTTTTTTTGAGTCGGGAGTCTCACTCTGCTGCCAAGGCTGGAGTGCAGCGGCACGCTCATGGCCACCCCAGCCTTTACCCGCTGGGCTCAGGTGATCCTTCTGTCTCAGCCTTCCAAGTAGCTGGAACTACAGACGTGTGCCACCACACGGTTAATTTTTTTATTTATTGTAGAGATGAGGTCTCATCAAGTTGCCCAGGCTGGTCTCCAACCTGTGGGTTCAGGCAATCCTCTTACCTCAGCCTCTCAAAGTGCTGGGATTATAGGCATGAGCCACCATGCCCAGCCTTCACATTTCTTTCTTTCTATCTTTTTTTTTAAAGCAGGATTTATTAAGAGGACAGAAAAGTTCCCACAATGGGAGGGGACCTGAGGAGGTTGCCCCACGCTTTTAAAAAAGAGATATATGCTATTTTGAATAGGGAATGGTCAAGCTTTCTGAATAAATGTCTTGAAAAAGATTGGTGACATATGTGAGTCTTTTAAATTCTCTTCCTATTGGGATAATAGATTAATAGCTTATGAAAAACATAGGTATTCCTGCTAGGATAGGCCTTAGGATAAATAATTGCTCCTGTAAAATACTGTATCTTGTTATCTAGCACTGCAGAAGAAACATAACGTGATGTTAAAACTGATTGATGAGAAATAAGCTGGTTAACTAAGCAAGAAAAATCGACCCTCTCAAGAGTGAACCACTAAGGCCCTACAATAGTTTATTTGCTTTATCATCAATCTGGGCCTAAAATAACCTTAAAATCAACTTGTAAAGCAATTACACTTCTGAGAATGTATCCTAAGTAAATAATCAGAGCCAGGTGTGGTGTCTTGTGCCTGCAGCTCCAGCTACTTGGGAGGCTGAAGTGGGAGGACTGCTTGAGGCCATAGGTTCAAGACTGTAATAGGCTATCATTGCACCTGTGAATGACTACTGCACTCCAGCCTGGGCAACATAGCCAAGACACTGTGTCTCTCTCTCAAAAAAAAGGAATAATCAGATATGCTCAGATAAGCATTTAAGAACACTTTTTAGCTAAGCATGGTGGCTCACGCCTATAATTCCAGCATTGGGAAGTCAAGGAGGGAGGATCATTTAATACTGCTCTGGGCAACATAGTGAGAAAAATGAAAAAATTAGCTGAATGTGGTGGCATGAGTCTGTAGTCCTAGCTAGTTGGGAGGCTGAGGCAAAAGGATTGCTTGAGCCTAGGTATTCAAGACTGCAGTGAGCAATGATTAAATTTACAATAGAGGAAAAAAGGTATGCTATATCCGTCTGAGAGACTACAATACTCTTTTTTTGTCTTTTTTTTGAGTCAGAGTCTCACTCTGCCAACCAGGCTGGAGTGCAGTGGCAAGTTCACGGCCACCACAGCCTTGATCTGCTGGGCTCAGGTGATCTTTCTGTCTCAGCTTTTGAAGTTGGAACTACAGGCATGCGCCACCACATCTGGCTAGTTTTATGATTTATTATAGAGACAAGGGCTCGCCATGTTGCTCAGGCTGGTCTCAAACCCCTGAGCTCAGGTAATCCTCTTGCCTCCGCCTCCCAAAGTGTTGGGATTACAGGTGTGAGCCACTGTGTCTGGCTTTATAATATTCTTAATATATTCTATACACAAAGATAAAACATAAATTTGTTCTTTTGGTTTTTGTTTTTGAGTTGGAGTTTCACTCTGTTGCCCAGGCTGCAGTGCAGTGGCAGGCTCACTCACGGTCACCGCAGCCTCGACCTGCTGGGCTCAGGTTATCCTTCTGCCTCAGCCTTCCAATTAGCTGGAACTACAGGCAAGAGCCACCTGGCTGATTTTATGATTTATTGTAGAGACAAGGTTTTGCCAAGTTGCCCAGGCTGAACAGTTGCTCTTTAACTATATTCTGACATCCTCTACTTTTTCCTCAGAAATTGTTTCAAATTCTTAAGAAAAGTGGAAAGACTAATGATGCTGAAACGACAACACTTCAGCTTGGGCAACATGGTGAGACCTCATCCCTACAATAAATAAAAAATAGCTAGCCAGGTATGGTGATACATGCCTGTAGTTTCAGTTACTTGGAAGTCTGAGAAAGAAGGATTACCTGAGTCGAGCAGGTCGAGGGCTGCAGTGGCTGTGAGTGTGCCACGGCACTCCAGTCTGGGTGACAGAGTGAGACTGTGACTCACAGAAAAAGAACAAAAGACAATACTCCCTGATAATTCCATCCCCAGACTCAGCTTGAGGGTATTCTTAGTCTGAAAGAGCACAGACAGTGAAGAAAGAGCATTCTTCAGCTCTCCAGTGAAGAACAAGTCCATCTTACCTGTTCCAGATATTAGGACAGCCACTCTGGCCTTTTGCTGGACAGATAAATGATTTTTCAGATATCTATTCTTCAACACTGACCCATTTATCTGCATGCTTTCAATCAGATTCTTGACTTTCACACGAGACGAACCTGTTTCAAACATACCCATAAGTAAAACATAATTATGAATGAACAGGAATAATGAAAATAATTTTATGAAATATTGTAACTTCAGAATGCTATATTCTGAAAATAAAATATGCAAGGATTAAAATGAATAAGAGGTTTGTATCACTTAACATTACTCATTCATTAAAACTTGCTAAAGGTGAACATATGTAGTCACCTACTTCAACTAAGACCTACAGAGCACATCACTATTTTGAAGCATGTAGTGGATTTATTACTGCTTTCTAGTGTTGTTTCTACTCCCCAAATCTTCCTAGTGAGACCATTCATGATAGTGCCATGACCTCCTGGTCTCAGGGGAGGCATGTGACCTAACAAAGCTATTTAAATACTAGATATGAGATGCTGAAAGAATGTCTCTCTTTTTTTTTTTTGAGTTGGCGTCTCACTCTGTCGCCCAGACTGGAATGCAGTGGCTGCTCCCGGCCACTGCAGCCTCTACCTGCTGGGCTCCGGCGATCCTTCCACCTCAGCCTTCCAAGTAGCCAGAATTACAGGCATGCACTACCACACCCGGCTGATTTTTTGATTTATTGTAGAGATGAGGTCTCACTGCCCAGGCGGGTCTCGAACCCACGGGCTCAGGCAATCCACTCACCTCAGCCTCCCAAAGGCGCGGGATTACAGGCTGAGCCACCGAGCCCAGCTAAGAATGTCTCTTTCTTACTGTTATGTGAGCTAAAGGATGCTATCTTTTTTTTTTTTGAGTTGGAGTCTCACTCTGTCGCCCAGACTAGAGTGCAGTGGCTGCTCCCGGCCACTGCAGCCTCAACCTGCTGGGCTCCGGTGATCCTTCCGCCTCAGTCTTCTGAGTAGCTGGAATTACAGGCATGCACTATCATGCCTGGTTGATTTTTTTATTTATTGTAGACATGAGGTCTCGCCAAGTTGCCCAGGCAGGTTTCGAACTCGTGGGTTCAGACAATCCACTCACCTCAGCCTCCCAAAGTGTGGGATTACAGACTGAGCCACCGAGCCTGGCTTAAAGGATGTTATTTTTATTGTATTTGGAGAACGTGCCTGAAAGTGAAACCTACATAACAGAGGAAAGAAAGGCAGATACAGGCAAAATCAACAAACTGACATCTTTTTTAGCTAATCTGAGTGGCTATTTTATTCTGCCCCTCTGCTGAGTTTTAGCATTTGCAGCAGAGTCCTGACTCATATACCATACTGGCCAGGATGCTTGCTCACTAACCCTTGAACTGAGCTGATTCATAAAACAGAGCCACAAGGTCTTGAATGCAGGGAGATTTCTTTGGAAAGTGATCCTTGGAGTGTAGTTGTGTATGCATGAATGCTACACAGGTGTGAGAGTCCTGAGGCAAACATTAGGAGATATGTGGTATCACTGTGATGGGTGCTGTCACGTTACACCTGTGTAAAGATAGTTGCCGTAGCAATGGCTAGACTAAAAGGTGGGTAGAAAGCTTGTGAGGCAGGGCTTAGATATATTTAAGATTATATACCAGTTGGGAGCGGTGGCTCAAGCTTGTAATCCCAGCGCTTTGGGAGGCGGAGGCAAGATTGCTTGAGCTCAGGGGTTCGAGACCAGACTGAGTAACATGGCAAGATCTCGTCTCTACAATAAATAAAAAAATTAGTTGGGCATGGTGGCACATGCCTATAGTTTTAGCTACTTGGAAGGCTGAGGCGGAAAGATCACCTGAGTCCAGCAGGTTGAGGCTGCAGTGACTGTGAGTGTGCCACTGCACTCCAGCCTGGGCAACAGAGTAAGACTCCCACTCAAAAAAAAAAAAAAAAAGATTATACACCTAAAAGTAAATAAGGAGCGAGTACCTTCAGGACGTGCGACCACACAGCCAATTACCCAGGCTTCTTCCTTGTGCTGCTGAATATCTCTTAGGATCTGCTCTGTTTGATCCTTTGATACCACGAGGGCAGCTCCAATCCCACAGTTAAATGTTCTAGCCATCTCTTCTTCAGAGAGGTGTCCTTCCTGCTGTAACCATGAGAAGACTCTGGGGATCTTCCAGGTCTGGGCATCTGAAAACAGGCAACAGTTGTTTGATTAACCTGTCTCACACAAAGTATAAAAGTATGCACATATACAAAGATACAGAAATTACAATCAGACTTTGCTATTTTACATAGGGCAAAACTATAAATTGACCTCTCAGGAGTTCTTATTTGGGAATCCTTCTGTACCTTAGATATTAAAAACATTTTTTGTTGACACACATGACCGGTATTCACATTTGAGTAAAGTTTTGTGCCTCATCAGAAATGCTCTAATAGATTAGATGTGCTAGCAGGTGAATTCCAGTAAAGGCTGGCATACTATCCTTTTGTCAGTGTTTAGCTGGGTGTTAGTGATCACCAAAATGTACCCTAAGTATGATTCAAAAACCACACGGCTTATATACAGATTTAGAGGAAAAGCAAACACTAGTCAAGAAAAGTTACACTACATCAAAGATTTAAGATCAACACCCTGTTCCTCTCATTTAAAATGTAGACTTCTAGCCGGGCTCGGTGGCTCAGCTTGTAATCCCACGCTTTGGGAGGCTGAGGTGAGTGGATTGCCTGAGCCCGCAGGTTCGAGACCCGCCTGGGCAACTTGGTGAGACCTCATCTCTACAATAAATCAAAAAATTAGGCGGGCGTGGTAGCGCACGCCTGTAGTTCCAGCTATTTGGAAGGCTGAGGCAGAAGGATTGCTGGAGTCCAGCAGGTTGAGGCTGCGGTAGCTGGGATTGTGCCACTGCACTCCAGGCTGGGTGAGAGTGAGACTCCAACTCAAAAAAAAAAAAAAAAAAAAGTAGACTTCTTAGGCCTGCTCTTATCACAAATAATACAACAAAATTCTCTAATAGGCTGGGTGTGGTAATCCCAGCACTTTGGGAGGCTAAAATGGAAGGGCTGCTTGAGTTTATGAGTTTAAGCAACACAGCAAGACATCTCTACAAAAATATAAGACAAAAATAAAAAAATTAGCTGGGCAAAGTGGTGTGTGGGTGCAGTTCTAGTTACCTACTTGGGAGGCTGAGGCAGAAGGATTGCCTGAGCCCAGAAGGTTGAGCTACAATGAGCTGAGATTGTGTCAATGTACTCAAGCCTGAGTGAAAGAGTGAGACTCTAGCCAGGCTGGGTGGCTCAGCCTGTAATCCCGCGTTTTAGGAGGCTGAGGTGAGTGGATTTCCTGAGCCCGTGGGTTCCAGACCCGCCTGGGCAACTTGGCAAGATCTCATCTCCACAATAAATTAAAAAAAAAATCAGCCGGGAATGGTAGTGTGTGCCTGTAATTCCGGCTACTTGGAAGGCCGAGGCAGAAGGATTGCCGGAGCCCAGCAGGTTGAGGTTGTGGTGGCCCGGAGCGGCCACTGCACTCCAGTCTGGGTGACAGAGTGAGACTCTAACTCAAAAAAAAAAACCGAAAAACAAAAAGAGTGAGACTGTAAAAAAAAAACAAAAAACAACTCTAACAAAGTTTTTAGGTAAAGAACTATATACACACAAAACATTCTTTATTTTTCGAGTTGGAGTCTCACTCCATCGCCCAGGCTAGAGTGCAAGGTCATGCTCATAGCCACCGCAGCCTCAACCTGCTGGGCTCAGGTGATTCTTCTGCCTCAGCCTTTCGAGTAGCTGGAACTATAGGTACGTGCTACCACGCCTGGCTAATTTTTTGATTTATTGTAGGGATGAGGTCTTCCCAAGTTGCCCAGGTTGGTCTTGAACCTTTGAGCTCATGCAATCCTCTTACCTAGGCCTCCCAAAGTGCCAGGATTACAGGCGTGAGCCATCGTGCCTGGCCACAACATTCCTGAATAAAATAATTTGGATAGTTCTTTGGGATCTCAACTACAGAATCTGATTTATAAAAACTACACTGGATTACTTATAATGTTTCTAAGCAAGGGAAGCCAATGTGAACTTAGCTTTTCATTAAATAATATGGTTAACTATCAGTGTCCCCATTTTTTGGTATATTTACAGGATAATCAATTTTTTACTACTCTGGAGTTGGTACAATTTTTATTTTATGTTTTTTTGAGTTGGGGGTCTCACTCTGTTGCTCAGACTAGAGTGCAGTGGCATAATCACAGTTTACCACAGTCTCAAATTCCTGGGTTCAAGTGATCCTCCTGCCTTGGCCTCCCAAAGTGCTGGGATTACTACTGCACCTGGTACAACTTTAAAAAAATGCATCACATGTATATGAATCTTCCTTATTAGATTTAATTCCATTTACACTAACTGGGAAATGTCCATTCTTAAAAGTTGATCTCAAAGGATTTAACGACCACAAAGTACATCATGCTCTCAACAGTTAAAAGTGAACAACAGCCAAGCATGGTGGCTCACACCTGTAATTCCAGCACTTCAGGAGGCAGAGGTGAGATGATTGCCTGAGCCAATGGGTTTAAGACCAGTCTGGGAAATATGGTGAAACCCTGTCTCTACAATAAATAAAAAAATTAGCTGGGTGTGGTGGCACACACTTACAGTTCAGTTACTTAGAAGGCTAAGACAGAAGGATTGCCTGAGTCCAGCAGTTTGAGGCTGCAGTGGCCATAATGCCACTGCATTCCAGCCTGGGTGACAGAGTGAGACTCTGACTAAAAAAAAAAAAAAAAGAAAGAAATAATAATAGCAACTTAAACTCAAATAGTGTTACATCTGTAAAGTGAAACACTCATCATCCAAAATGATGTTGTTATAGTAAGTAGATGATAATGTATTAAATGGCAAGACAAATAGCAGATAACCAAACTGCTGTCTCATTTAAGCAAAACAGTATTCTTTTTGAGTTGATGTCTCACTCTGTCGCCCAGACTGGAGTGCAGTGGCCGCTCCCGGCCACCGCAGCCTCGACCTGCTGGGCTCCGGCGATCCTTCCGCCTCAGCCTTCCGAGTAGCCGGAATTACAGGCATGTGCTACCACGCCCAGCTGATTTTTTGATTTATTGTAGAGATGAGGTCTTGCTGCCCAGGCGGGTCTCGAACCCACGGGCTCAGGCAATCCACTCACCTCAGCCTCCCAAAGGCGTGTTTGTTTTTTTTGAGTTGGAGTCTCACTCTGTCGCCCAGACTGGAGTGCAGTGGCCGCTTCCGGCCACTGCAGCCTCGACCTGCTGGGCTCTGGCAATCCTTCCACTTCAGCCTTCCAAGTAGCTGGAACTACAGGCATGCGCTACCACACCCTGCTGATTTTTTTATTTATT